AGACTTGATGTACAGGGTATTACTAATCAGACTTGGGGAGGAATAGAAGGTATCGTACCCGAATCAATTTTTAATTTTATAAAAGGCCAACATTTATTAGGGTTTGATTTTAGATTACTATTGGTGATGTTTACATAGGATTTATAAGCATGATATATTTCTTATTTAGCATGGACCCGTAAAGATTTAAATAATACATAATCATCTCGTAATCTAGTCTTAATATAACATTTTCAAGCATTATGCTTCCGCTTTAAATTCATGATTATACTTTCATTGAACCATGGAGGGTATTAATAATTGTTAACTTTCTTCTCAGGCAAGTGTATTTCAAAGACATGATTTAAGGTTTTATACGTAATAGAGATAGCATCATTTATGTTGCTAAAGATAAGCCCAATTATAGTACCTTGCATAGATATAGTAGCCGTACATAGAGTCGAAATTTGCGAATAAAAATAAAATAAAACCGGTTCAAACGGAGCCGACCGTGGCTGCAAATTCGGACGTCACTATGGCACGCGTTGCACAGAGACGTGTTTAATATTAAATGTCATCACTTCCGTTATAATATAATCTTTTTCGCCAGCCGTCTTAAAAGATGTCACTTTTAACGTCAAGTTTGGACGGAAAACTTGACGTTTTTGTGAGAGTAAAAAAAAGTTGCGTTACTAAAGTAACAAGGTCAATTTTGCCTTTTTAATCCTAGCATTAATTTTTTTTTTAATCCTAGCCTTAAAAAGTTAATTTTTTTTTGAGATTTACTTTTTGGCTGGCGAAAAAGTAGTATGTTTCATTCGGATTAAAAGTCAGTTTTTGACTCGCAATTTTGCATCCGCTCGGCTTCGCTTCGCTCCGCCTCGCAAATGCAAAATTTGCTCGTCGCAAAAAATGGCACTTTTAATCCTAATAAAACAATCTACTATTTTAATTTCTGAGCTCAATCTCGTCAATAAAAACGAAACTTTGTTCACTGTACACAGGTGTGGTATATTCATCGTTGCGGAGGTGGGTGGAGTGAAAAACCTAGTCATCTTAGCAGCAAAGACGGCTATAAATTAGTCCACGTGGAGTGCTTGTTTCCTGTCATATTTTAATTTGCTTGAACCAATTGTGTTGCACCAAACGGTTATTATATTTGTTGAAATACATTTTCAAATTTCCATCTTTCTCTAGATCGTCGATTTCGTAGCTGTGTGACAAATCGTTTGTCGTAAATAGAAAATAGTAAGATTACAGTGACCGTAAGATTTAATACACTCCTGTGCGACGTGACGCATGCCACATCGTCGGCTCCGTTTGAGCTGGTTTTATTTTATTTTTATTCGCAAATTTCGACTTTATGGATGGCTACTATATCTATGGAAGCTACTATAATTTCAGACAGAGCAACATATAAAAGGTGAAAATTACATTTGCGAAAATTGTATTCTGGATCGATGGCACTAAGAGATGTTTTATATTCACTTCTGCAACAAACGGAAATGGAGATCTACTAACGGAACAATTATGATTTCTGTTGGTGAAGACAAGATCCAAGAGTCCATCTTTGGAGGTCAATATTTTATTACATTGCTGACAATTAAAGGAGTTCATAAATTGTTTCATTAGAGCGCATTGGCAGGAAGATATACAGTTCAAAGAAGAAAGAGCAAATTCTGGGATACTAAAGTCACTCATTATGAGAATATTGGAGTTATATAAAATACTTATCTAATGTACGGAAGCGTAGAAAGGTCAGGTGGAATTTTTTTTTAAACTCTGCATGTCGAAAAAAACTCGACAAGTTGAGAAAAAACTCGACATGTCGAGTTTAATCTCGTCTGGACTTTTTACTTCCCGAGCCTAAGCAAAGGAAGTATTGTAATCGAGTCCGTCGGCCGACTCTCGACCTTCCATGACCCCTACAGTACGAAGAAATAGGACTCCCGTTTCCGTCTGTCTGTCTGTCTGTCTGTCTGTCTGTCTGTCTGTCTGTCGGTCTGTCCGTCTATCCGTCTGTCTGCTGTACCGGATTTTTATTAGGTAGATAATCTCCGAAAGTACTGGACCGATTGTTGTCAAATTTTGTATTTATATTTGTCTATATTATCACCACCAATAATGTGATGACGTCATTTCAAAATTGTACATAGTAAATGGGTTTTAAATTGTATAGCATAACAGTTCTACACATGTAGTTTACGACGAAAAGTCCAGATTTTTGGAAAAAAATAAAAATTATGGAATTTAGCAATTTAATTTGGAATCTGCAAAACCGCGTGCTTTGAAATATTGCAGATAGTTTACAGTTATGATAAACATGAAAAATGTTTGATCCAAATATATTTACTTTTCCCCTCCAAAAAAATGTTGACGTCAGCTCAAAAGTTTGTCGAATAAATCCTATTTAAAGTGTACAAAATATGATGAGTCTATATTTGTGATTTACCATTCCATTTATATGTTTTGGATGTGCAGGTACAGGGTATGTCAAAAAAATTAATGAATGAGTAAATTTATTTTATTAATTTAATCAAGAACTGCAAAACCGCAACCATGCAATCATGGAGATGTTTTAAAGTTACCATAAACAAAAAATATTGCTGACGTTACCTCAAAATATTGCTGAATAAATCTTATCTTAAATGTGCGAAGTATGATGAGTCTATCCTTGTGATTTATTACTGCATTAATATTTTTTAGATTTGCTTATACAGGGTGTCTGAAAAAAATTAATCACTGAGTCAATTTATTTTATTGATTAAATCAAGAACTGCAAAACTGAATATTTTGAAATCTTGACACTTTGAAGTTATTGTAAGCATGGTAACATTTTAGTCAAAATATTTCTGTTTATCAAGCCCAAAAAATTTATTACGTCATTTCAAAATTTTGCCGAATAAATTCTTTCGAAAATGTGCAAAATATACATATATATACCATACTTGTGACTTATCATTGCATTCATATTTTTTAGATTTGCTTACACAGGGTAGCAGAAAAATTAATGAGTCAGTCAATTTATTATTGATCAAATTAAGAACGAGCTCTCACATTTTCTCGAAAATGTGAGAATACGATCGTCTTTATAACAATAGAATCAGGTAAGAATTATAACAATAATATTCAGAATATTTTGTTCAGTTGAGGTTAACGAATAATTTCCCTGTGGTAATGACCAGATTTCGGCAAAGCGGAAGTGATGCTCATTGCCATCCGATCGCCAGCGCTATCGCAGTCGTGGCCTACAACTTTGGGAATTCTTAATAACAATGACTCCTTTTTTACTAAGTTTTCTCATTTATACAAGTTCTCCTAGATATTAAAATGCTTTAAAAAATAAAAATGATTGTTCAACATCACAATTTTCGTGATAATATTGATCAGATAAAACCTGAATTGCATCAAACGCCACTGTGGTTGAGACTGCACAGTCGGCCAGCCAAATTTATTGCCTGACGTCGCGCCGTCGTTTTTAATATTTGTATGATTGATTCCCCATCACTTCGGCTGTGCCTATCTCTGATAATGACCTTTTCCGACCGTTTTATTCTGAGCGTCTTATCATTATGTCGCTACCCACATTGAAAAACAGAAGAATTCAAGGGGATGTAATTTTCACCTTCAAATCGTTAAGGCTTGAGAATCCATTGATGCAGAATTTATTTACCTTATGCCCATACTCCAGAACTAGAAGTCATTGCGTCAAACTGAAGAAAGAAAACTTTCACACAACTGTAAGACATCATTTTGTAACAAATAGTGTGTTTGACACTTGGAACAAGCTGCCGGAGGGAGTCGTCCAGAGTCTTGATGTTAATATTTTTAAATCTAGATTTGACAGTTTATAAATTGTTAACATATTATTTGTAGTTGTACAGTTCCGTGGACATAACAGGGCCTGCCCTCTGCCCTTTATTTTTAATTAATAACAATAAATATATAATAATTTTAGTCATCTGTTTTGAGGCGGAAAAAATGTCTACGTGACATTCTTCCGATATATAAACATTCACATTTTCAATACTACGCATATTGCTCAGATAGCTTTATTCGTGTTGATAATGTGCTGTAAATATATTTTTGCACTCATGACCTTTTTTGATGACTTTTGGGCATTCACCAGGATGCGGCTGTTCGAACTTTCCGCACACGTGCTTTTTGCTTTCCGTTGCCATGGTAACCTTAAAATAGCCCGGAAACGTCAAATTGCTAATTATTTACGCCGTTGTTAACGTCGTTGTTTATAAATAACTCACAGTTAATCTTTTCAGTTTATAAGTTTATTCGTTGCGAAAAATATTGTACACAACACGTTTGTGAAGCCTGCTTCCCTCATTCCTGCAACTGTTCATTCGGGAAGCAGGCTATTCCGAACTAGTTGGGTAAATTACTATTGTCAATAACTAACTAATGAGTAACTTTCGTATATTTTGTGGATATTAAATCTGATTTAAACAATTTTGAGATTAAAGAAAAATCTGCAAACATAAACACATAGCTGAAAGAAGAAATTAAGAAATTTAAATCCCAATCATCCCAATCACATTTTTGTTTCTAAATTACGAACTGTATACTAACGTAAGTACGTACGTTTTTTATTTATAAAGATGAGACCGAAACTGACGCTGTTAACTTTTATCAGTAAATACACCTTGATTGATACAGTGACTGACTATAATGCAATGTGTTCCTTTGACGACACTAAACAAATACATTAAAACCATGACGTAAGTGGCGTACGTCAAAAAATTAAGGAATTTACCACAGTAAATGCACACTTTGTAAAATGTTTAAACTTTTTTTAAAACGAAGACACTGTTTAAAAGATATTGCGACTTTCCCCAGTTGTGACTGGGGAAAGTCGCAATATCTTTTAAACAGTGTCTTCGTTTTAAAAAAAGTTTAAACATTTTACAAAGTGTGCATTTTTTCCACATTTTCTCAGTTCTCGATATAGAACAAACGTTGCAGCAGACCTTGGTCAAGAACCTTCTCGTTGTTACCTCGCAACTATCTCTTTATTATTAAATTTCATTCCGCTGCGAGTAGTTATTTTGTGTAGCTCGAAATAACGAATTCCAGTATAAATACATAAAAGTTTCAGTTTTGTTAGTTTATTGTAAGGAAGGTACAAAACTAAAGGTAACTATTATTTTACGAACAAAACTTCTTTTAATCGTATTTAAATCATTGTCATTGCGATTAGACTCTTAAAAAATTATTAACAGTGTTAGAAACGTATAACTATTTTTCAGTGCTAGGGTCTTTTAATAGCAAAATAAAATTAAGTACACACAATTAATATAAATGGTAATACATCCCTGTTAAAAATGCCCAATCAAATCCAATATAACCCAATCTAAGTTAGATTGGACCAGATTGTGTTTGATTGGGTTAATTGGGATTCAATTTGAACTTATATTGGATTTGATTGGGCAAACACAATTAAGGGCTTTGATTGGATTTGATTGGATTTGATTGTGAAAATTGGAAATAATTGTGTATTACCAATAAAAACATCTAAAAAGCAAAATGTGATGTAATAAATACAATTTAGGTTTGGAGTGTGCTAGAACGTGCAAATGGAACATTTTATTTTATTTTATCACTAACATTGATGTCCCTAATATAAATAATTTTGTTGCTTTCGTTTAGATTCCCAAAATGGCTTTGAGTTATCATTTACAATAAAATGCCGTAAAAGATAATTATTTATTATGGAAATAAAACGCTTATTGAAACGATTATAACGAAAAATACAATTATTTGAAAAAAGCACCCCCTTCACGAATAGAATAAGTTGTTAACATTTTATTACCCGAGAACAAGGCTCGAAAGAATTCTGAATCGATCACAAGAATATACATCTATATGCATATTCAAAAAAATTGCATAAATATGTTCTGCGTATTAGCAACCCCCATAGGGGGGTCGACGGGGAACGTAACCACCCACTTCGATGAGAAGTCGTCAAGAAACACATTACGCAACCATTTTGCATCCTACGGCAACGATACGGACCGTAGGTGCTCAATTTCACGTTTAAACGACGGTCACAGTGTCGCCCAATCTGGCCCAATCAAATCCAATCCCAAATTGGGGGCGCCCAATCAAACCCAATCTGCGAATAATTCGCACGCCAATCGCACAAAGAAGGTAAAAAATGACCACCACAATGGTCACGTGGTACGCAAGCAAACATATTATCACTATTATAGCGAAAAATAATTTGTTTTTAATAAACAACCCTTTTACGCGGGTTTGAGTGTTAATATTATCCGACAGGAGTATATTTTTGGGAAAAAATTCTGTGTTCGACACGATAGGATTTATGACGATAAGCATACTCAAAAAAAATGCATAAATATTGTCTGCGTATTAGCAACCCCCATAAGGGGGTCGACGGAGAACGTAACCACCCACTTCGATGAGAAGTCGTAAAGAAACACATTACGCAACCATTTTGCATCCTACGGCAACGATACGGACCGTAGGTGCCTCAATTTCACGTTTAAACGACGGTCACAGTGTCGCCCAATCTGGCCCAATCAAATCCAATCCCAAATTGGGGGCGCCCAATCAAATCCAATCTGCGAATAATTCGCACGCCAATCGCACAAAGAAGGTAAAAAATGACTATCACAATGGTCACGTGGTACGCAAGCAAACATATTATCACCATTATAGCGAACAATAAACCTTTTTTAAAAAACAACCCTTTTACGCGGGTTTAAGTGTTAATACTATCCGACCGGAGTACATTTTTGGGCAAAAATTCTGTGTTCGACACGATAACGTTTACATCGATAAGCATACCAAAAAATATGCATAAATATTGTCTGCGTATTAGCAACCCCCATAAGGGTGTCGACGGAGAACGTAACCACCCACTTCGATGAGAAGTCGTAAAGAAACACATTACGCAACCATTTTGCATCCTACGGCAACGATACGGACCGCACGTGCCTCAATATTACGTTTGAACGACGTTCACAGTGTCGCCCAATCTCGCCCAATCTGCGAATAATAATTCGCTCGCCAATCGCACAAAGCAGGTAAAAAATGACCACCACAATGGTCACGTGGTACGCAAGCAAACATATTATCACTATTATAGCGAAAAATAATTTGTTTTTAATAAACAACCCTTTTACGCGGGTTTAAGTGTTAATATTATCCGACAGGAGTATATTTTTGGGAAAAAATTCTGTGTTCGACACGATAGGATTTATGACGATAACTATACTCAAAAAAATGGCATAAATATTTTCTGCGTATTAGCAACCCTCATAAGGAGGTCGACGGAGAACGTAACCACCCACTTCGATGAGAAGTCGTAAAGAAACACATTACGCAACCATTTTGCATCCTACGGCAACGATACGGACCGTGGGTGCCTCAATATTACGTTTAAACGACGGTCACAGTGTCGCCCAATCTGGCCCAATCAAATCCAATCCCAAATTGGGGGCGCCCAATCAAATCCAATCTGCGAATAATTCGCACGCCAATCGCACAAAGAAGGTAAAAAATGACCACCACAATGGTCACGTGGTACGCAAGCAAACATATTATCACTATTATAGCGAACAATAAAACTTTTTTAAAAAATAACCCTTTTACGCGGGTTTAAGTGTTAATACTGTCCGACCAGAGTATATTTTTGGGAAAAAATTCTGTGTTCGACACGATAACGTTTACAGCGATAAGCATACCAAAAAAAATGCATAAATATTGTCTGCGTATTAGCAACCCCCATAAGGGGGTCGACGGAGAACGTCACCACCCACTTCGATGAGAAGTCGTAAAGAAACACATTTCGCAACCATTTTGGGCACCTACGGCAACGATAGGTGCCTCAATTTCACGTTTAAACGACGGTCACAGTGTCGCCCAATCTGGCCCAATCATGTCCAATCCCAAATTGGGGGCGCCCAATCAAATCCAATCTGCGAATAATTCGCACGCCAATCGCACAAAGAAGGTAAAAAATGACCACCACAATGGTCACGTGGTACGCAAGCAAACATATTATCACTATTATAACGAAAAATAAAACTTTTTTAAAAAACAACCCTTTTACGCGGGTTTAAGTGTTAATACTGTCCGACCAGAGTATATTTTTGGGAAAAAATTCTGTGTTCGACACGATAACATTTACAGCGATAAGCATACCAAAAAAAATGCATACATATTGTCTGCGTATTAGCAACCCCCATAAGGGGGTCGACGGAGAACGTCACCACCCACTTCGATGAGAAGTCGTAAAGAAACACATTTCGCAACCATTTTGCATCCTACGGCAACGATACGGACCGTAGGTACCTCAATATTACGTTTAAACGACGGTCACAGTGTCGCCCAATCTGGCCCAATCAAATCCAATCCCAAATTGGGGGCGCCCAATCAAATCCAATCTGCGAATAATTCGCACGCCAATCGCACAAAGAAGGTAAAAAATGACCACCACAATGGTCACGTGGTACGCAAGCAAACATATTATCACTATTATAGCGAACAATAAAACTTTTTTAAAAAATAACCCTTTTACGCGGGTTTAAGTGTTAATACTGTCCGACCAGAGTATATTTTTGGGAAAAAATTCTGTGTTCGACACGATAACGTTTACAGCGATAAGCATACCAAAAAAAATGCATAAATATTGTCTGCGTATTAGCAACCCCCATAAGGGGGTCGACGGAGAACGTCACCACCCACTTCGATGAGAAGTCGTAAAGAAACACATTTCGCAACCATTTTGGGCACCTACGGCAACGATAGGTGCCTCAATTTCACGTTTAAACGACGGTCACAGTGTCGCCCAATCTGGCCCAATCATATCCAATCCCAAATTGGGGGCGCCCAATCAAATCCAATCTGCGAATAATTCGCACGCCAATCGCACAAAGAAGGTAAAAAATGACCACCACAATGGTCACGTGGTACGCAAGCAAACATATTATCACCATTATAGCGAACAATAAAACTTTTTTAAAAAACAACCCTTTTACGCGGGTTTAAGTGTTAATACTGTCCGACCAGAGTATATTTTTGGGAAAAAATTCTGTGTTCGACACGATAACGTTTACAGCGATAAGCATACCAAAAAAAATGCATAAATATTGTCTGCGTATTAGCAACCCCCATAAGGGAGTCGACGGAGAACGTAACCACCCACTTCGATGAGAAGTCGTAAAGAAACACATTACGCAACCATTTTGCATCGTACGGCAACGATAATGACCGTAGGTGCCTCAATATTACGTTTAAACGACGGTCACAGTGTCGCCCAATCTGGCCCAATCAAATCCAATCCCAAATTGGGGGCGCCCAATCAAATCCAATCTGCGAATAATTCGCACGCCAATCGTACAAAGAAGGTAAAAAATGATCACCACAATGGTCACGTGGTACGCAAGCAAACATATTATCACTATTATAGCGAACAATAAAACTTTTTTAAAAAACAACCCTTTTACGCGGGTTTAAGTGTTAATACTGTCCGACCGGAGTATATTTTTGGGAAAAAATTCTGTGTTCGACACGGTAAGATTTATGACGATAAGCATAATCAAAAAAATGGCATAAATATTTTCCTGCGTATTAGCAACCCCCATAAGGGAGTCGACGGAGAACGTAACCACCCACTTCGATGAGAAGTCGTAAAGAAACACATTACGCAACCATTTTGCATCGTACGGCAACGATAATGACCGTAGGTGCCTCAATATTACGTTTAAACGACGGTCACAGTGTCGCCCAATCTGGCCCAATCAAATCCAATCCCAAATTGGGGGCGCCCAATCAAATCCAATCTGCGAATAATTCGCACGCCAATCGCACAAAGAAGGTAAAAAATGACCACCACAATGGTCACGTGGTACGCAAGCAAACATATTATCACCATTATAGCGAACAATAAAACTTTTTTAAAAAACAACCCTTTTACGCGGGTTTAAGTGTTAATACTGTCCGACCGGAGTATATTTTTGGGAAAAAATTCTGTGTTCGACACGATAACGTTTACAGCGATAAGCATACCAAAAAAAATGCATAAATATTGTCTGCGTATTAGCAACCCCCATAAGGGGGTCGACGGGGAACGTAACCACCCACTTCGATGAGAAGTCGTAAAGAAACAC